TAACACCACCAGTCCATTCACCTCCTTCAACTCATTCCCTCTCACTAACACCACCAGTCCACTCACCTCCTTCAACTCATTCCCTCTCACTAACACCACCGTCCACTCACCTCCTTCTACTCATTCCCTCTCACTAACACCACTAGTCCACTCACCTCCTTCAACTCATTCCCTTTCACTACCACCACCACCACCACTACTCCACTCACCTCCTTCTACTCATTCCCTCTCACTACCACCACTAGTCCACTCACCTCCTTCTACTCATTCCCTCTCACTAACACCACCAGTCCACTCACCTCCTTCCACTCATTCCCTTTCACTACCACCACCACCAGTCCACTCACCTCCTTCTACTCATTCCCTCTCACTAACACCACTAGTCCACTCACCTCCTTCTATTCATTCCCTCTCACTAACACCACCAGTCCACTCACCTCCTTCAACTCATTCCCTCTCACTAACACCACCAGTCCACTCACCTCCTTCAACTCATTCCCTCTCACTAACACCACCAGTCCACTCACCTCCTTCAACTCATTCTCTCTCACTAACACCACTAGTCTACTCATACTCACCTCCTTCTACTCATTCCCTCTCACCACCACCACGAGTCCACTCACCTTCTTCAACTCATTCCCTCTCACTAACACCACCAGTCTACTCACCTCCTTCAACTCATTCCCTCTCACTAACACCACCAGTCCACTCACCTCCTTCAACTCATTCTCTCTCACTAACACCACTAGTCTACTCACCTCCTTCAACTCATTCCCTCTCACTAACACCACCAGTCCACTCACCTCCTACTCATTCCCTCTCACTAACACCTCCTACTCAATCCAGATGATTTTACTCTTCGTAAATGATCCAATCGGATCCAAATCAGATCTGATTCTAAACCCATGGGCGCCGTTGTTTTGGGAATTAATTTTTAGAAGCGACCTGACCACAATGATAGCTCAACGAAGTTAGCTTATGGTAAATAATAACGTCCATTATTCAGGATATTATTTAGACATAAATCACGTGACTTTGATACTGAGACTCAACATTTTTGAGACTCACTCAAGTGGCTGGTAGATGCCAATGGAGCAGTGGGGGAGGGGGCCTGGGGTTGAGTTAGGGGCACGTGTGTGCGTGTTGAACTTTTTTCGCGCCGTACGTAGCCAACGGTGCTAATCGGAGTGTGTGGGGAAGGACAACAAACTAAACACAAGAAGAGTTCTAAATAAATTAGTTCGGTCATCTAGACGATGATTTAAAAGTGCATCGCTCCCAGTGGCTTTATAATATCAGAGGCAAGAGCGTTCCAGACGGCCGCAGAAGCGCTTCCAAATGCACGCGATGCGGTGACCATCTTTGTTCATTGGCGAGCCAAAAGCCGCGTGATGATGGCTTATTGCTCCTTGACGAGATCAACAACGAGGTGTCATCTTCGTGGTTCATTTGTGTCGCGCGTACACTTTGTGTCACGTGTACACTTTGTGTTGTTACACTTTGTGTCGTGTACACTTTGTGTCACGTGTAGACTTTGTGTCGTGTACACTTTGTGTCGTGTACACTTTGTGTCACGTGTACACTTTGTGTCGTGTACACTTTGTGTCGTGTACACTTTGTGTCGAGTACACTTTGTGTCACGTGTACACTTTGTGTCACGTGTACACTTTGTGTCACGTGTACACTTTGTGTCATGTACACTTTGTGTCACGTGTACACTTTGTGTCGAGTACACTTTGTGTCGCGTGTACACTTTGTGTCGCGTGTACACTTTGTGTCGTGTACACTTTGTGTCGTTACACTTTGTGTCGTTACACTTTGTGTCGTGTACACTTTGTGTCGTTACACTTTGTGTTGTTACACTTTGTGTCACGTGTACATTTTGTGTCACGTGTACACTTTGTGTCGTTACACTTTGTGTCGTGTACACTTTGTGTCACGTGTACACTTTGTGTCAGGTACACTTTGTGTCGTTACACTTTGTGTCGTGTACACTTTGTGTCACGTGTACACTTTGTGTCACGTGTACACTTTCTGTCGTTACACTTTGTGTCGCGTGTACACTTTGTGTCGCGTGTACACTTTGTGTCATGTGTACACTTTGTGTCACGTGTACACTTTGTGTCGTGTACACTTTGTGTCGTTACACTTTGTGTCACGTGTACACTTTGTGTCACGTGTACACTTTGTGTCGCGTGTACACTTTGTGTCGCGTGTACGCTTTGTGTCACGTGTACACTTTGTGTCACGTGTACACTGTCACGTGTACACTTTGTGTCGTTACACTTTGTGTCACGTGTACACTTTGTGTCGCGTGTACACTTTGTGTCACGTGTACACTTTGTGTCACGTGTACACTTTGTGTCGTTACACTTTGTGTCATGTACACTTTGTGTCACGTGTACACTTTGTGTCACGTGTACACTTTGTGTCACGTGTACACTTTGTGTCGTTACACTTTGTGTCGTTACACTTTGTGTCGTGTACACTTTGTGTCGTGTACACTTTGTGTCGTTACACTTTGTGTCACGTGTACACGTTGTGTCGCGTGTACACTTTGTGTCGTGTACACTTTGTGTCACGTGTACACTTTGTGTCGTGTACACTTTGTGTCGTGTACACTTTGTGTCACGTGTACACTTTGTGTCGCGTGTACACTTTGTGTCGCGTGTACGCTTTGTGTCACGTGTACACTTTGTGTCACGTGTACACTGTCACGTGTACACTTTGTGTCGTTACACTTTGTGTCACGTGTACACTTTGTGTCGCGTGTACACTTTGTGTCACGTGTACACTTTGTCACGTGTACACTTTGTATCAGTTACACTTTGTGTCGTGTACACTTTGTGTCGTTACACTTTGTGTCACGTGTACACTTTGTGTCACGTGTACACTTTGTGTCACGTGTACACTTTGTGTCGTTACACTTTGTGTCGTGTACACTTTGTGTCGTGTACACTTTGTGTCGTTACACTTTGTGTCACGTGTACACTTTGTGTCGCGTGTACACTTTGTGTCGTGTACACTTTGTGTCACGTGTACACTTTGTGTCGTGTACACTTTGTGTCGTGTACACTTTGTGTCACGTGTACACTTTGTGTCGTGTACACTTTGTGTCGTTACACTTTGTGTCGCGTGTACACTTTGTGTCGCGTGTACACTTTGTGTCACGTGTACACTTTGTGTCGCGTGTACACTTTGTGTCACGCGTACACTTTGTGTCGCGTGTACACTTTGTGTCACGTGTACACTTTGTGTCGCGTGTACACTTTGTGTCGCGTGTGCACTTTGTGTCACGCGTACACTTTGTGTCACGTGTACACTTTGTGTCGTGTACACTTTGTGTCGTGTACACTTTGTGTCACGTGTACACTTTGTGTCGTGTACACTTTGTGTCGTTACACTTTGTGTCGCGTGTACACTTTGTGTCGCGTGTACACTTTGTGTCACGTGTACACTTTGTGTCGCGTGTACACTTTGTGTCACGCGTACACTTTGTGTCGCGTGTACACTTTGTGTCACGTGTACACTTTGTGTCGCGTGTACACTTTGTGTCGCGTGTGCACTTTGTGTCACGCGTACACTTTGTGTCGCGTGTACACTTTGTGTCGTTACACTTTGTGTCACGTGTACACTTTGTGTCACGTGTACACTTTGTGTTGCGTGTACACTTTGTGTCACGTGTACACTTTGTGTCGCGTATACACTTTGTGTCGCGTGTACACTTTGTGTCACGTGTACACTTTGTGTCACGTGTACACTTTGTGTGCGCAATGAGGTGGGGAAGGGAGCAGATCCCATCAGCAGGCGAGCGCGCCAGCAGCTCCAGGAACTAAAAAACCTCTGCTGGATCTAGCCTCAAGGCGCTCCTTCTGGCACTCGCCTCGCCTGAGCGGAGAGGCTGCAGGCACGAGGAGGGGGAGGGGGGGGGGAGTAGGGGATGAGGGGTAGTAGGGGGGGGAGTAGGGGGGGGGGAGTAGGGGGGGAGTATGTGGGGGAGTAGGGGGGGGGAGTAGGTGGGGGGAGTAGGTGGGGGGAGTAGGGGGGGGGAGTAGGGGGGGGAGGAGTAGGGGCTGAGGGGGAGTAGGGGGGGGGGGAGTAGGTGGGGGGAGTAGGGGGGGGGAGTAGGTGGGGGGAGTAGGGGGGGGGGGTAGGGGGGGAGGAGTAGGGGATGAGGGGGAGTAGGGGGGGGAGTAGGGGGGGAGTAGGGGGGGAGGGGGAGTAGGTGGGGGGAGTAGGGGGGGAGTAGGGGGGGGAGTAGGGGGAGGGGTAGGGGGGGGGAGTAGGGGGGGGGAGGAGTAGGGGATGAGGGGAGTAAGGGGGGGGGGGGGAGTAGTAGGAGTAGGGGGGGGATGAGGAGGATGAGGAGGAGTAACCTGCACGCCAGGCAGCCAGGCGGGCGTGCAGGTTACTCCGACACGTCGACACGCACTCAGCAAGGCGGGCAGCCATTCAGACAGACACACAGACAGCCACGCTTCGGGACAGACACACAGGGAGACGGGCAGGTCGGTAGGATAGACACAGACAATGAGCCATTCAGACAGACACAGAAACACAGACACGAGACAAAGATCCCCCGTGTAGCCTTAACAGACTGTAGGGGCAAGTGCTGTTAGCGAGCACCTATGAAAGGCGGCACGGCGCACGAGGGGGTGAGTGGCCAGCACCACGCCCGGCCGCCTTTGTCTCCCCCAGTGGCGATGTTTACACACCGCACCAGGTACTCATTTGAGGCTGAGTCGACCAAGGGGAGGCCCGGAACCGATTCAGACAATTGCCAGTGGCGCCGGTGGTCGTGAGTGGGAATCGAACTCGGCTCGTCGGGTTCGTGGCGAGGAACGCTAACCGCTACGCACCCACACACACACAGACAAAAGACACACACACAGACAAAAGACACACACACACAGACAAAATACACATAGACAAAAGACACACAGACAAAGACACACAGACAAAGACACACACACAGACAGACAAAAGACACACACAGACACCTTGAGTGGTGGCTCGCAGTCCCTGGCTCGTGTTCTTGTAGTAGGCGAAGCAGGCGTCCTTCTGTGCGCACAGCGTCACGTTGGGCGCCTCCCCCGCCGTGGAGGGCAGCAGCAGCGTGTTGTAGCAGCGCACGCCCCCGTTGGCTGCTGCACTCGAGCGCGCACGCCACACGCACAACACAAAGATCCCCCGTGTAGCCTTAACAGGCTGTAGGGGCAAGTGCTGGCAGCGAGCAGCACCTATGAAGGCCGGAACGGTACACGAGGGGGTTTGGGTGGCCAGCACCACGCCCTACCGCCTTTGTCTCCCCAGCGACGATGTTTACTACACACCGCACCAGGTACTCATTTGAGGCCGAGTCGACCTAGGGCAGGCTCGGGACCGGTTTAGATAATCGTCACTGATGTTGGCCGTGAGCGGGAATCGAACCCGGGTCGCCGGGTTCATAGCGCAGCGCGCTAACCGCTACACTACCGTGTAAATGTGCACGCACACACATGCACGCGCACATATACACCTAAATACGCGTGCACGTACTTACACGTGCGCATGTAGACACATACACACACACGCGGCGAGCCCCGCGTCATCAGCATGGATGAGACAACGCGGACAGAATCGCATCACCGATGCTTCTGCAGCAGGCTCCTTGCCAAGATTTGACAATTGCAGGTGGTGGGGGGGGGGGTGCCGTGTGGGATCCCGATGTAGTAATTGGCCAGGCACTCTGTGTCAGCACGTGGGGTTGTTTGGTCAAGACCAGGTGCACTGTGTGGCGTTTTAGCTACGGGAGGAAGAACCGGAGAACACGCGTGCACGTGCGAACGTTGAACTTGTTCCCGCCGTGCCAAGTCGGAGGTGCGAGAAAACCGGAGGGAACTCAACGCAGAACGAACGGAAGACGAAGAACGCGCGAAACTTCACGCAGAAAGAAGCCCCCACACCCTTCTTGCTACCACCACCACCACCGCGTCATTATCAGAGCACATCTGGTTGCATGCTCACCACAAGTGCGTGTGGTTCATGCAGACTTGATTCCTTGCTATTAGGTATATATTTAGTCTTCTTTGGTTCTTTCGGTAAAGTCACGTAGAATGAGAATAAAATAATAAATTGATAAAATAAAATAACGCAATAATATTCTCACAATGTATTATTTTATTCTCATTCTACGTGACTTTACCGAAAGAACCAAAGAAGATGAATCATTGCAGTCACGAAAGCTTTAAATCGATATATTTAGTGTTTGAATATCTTTGCACCGGTTTTTTTCCAGAATGGGTAAAACCTATTCTTATTTTGTTCATATTACAATTATTCATCAAAGGCAAACATCTTCAGCAAGGAAGGACCTGCAATGTGAATGTCTGCCGCGTTTCATTCACGAGGAGATTGGAGAACCCAGGGAAAACCCAGCGTACACACATGGTGGCGGCACCTCGTAGCCTACAACACCTGTAAAGCTCTGGCAGTGATCATCCATTCAATCCCCAACCATTCTCAAACCAGCTTAGTATTCAGAGCTGACGAGATTGGTGGTTCCGGTCACATGCTAAAGTATTTTCTGTGACGAAAGCTGCGATTGTGCGACTTGACGCGGGACCGAAGGGAGGGCAGAGATTACCACTTGGAGGTGGCAACTTCCAATGGTGGGACAAGAGGGAGTCGGCTCTACATTGACGAGATGTTAACTCCCTCGCCTGGTATGCAGGAGGGGCTCGTGGGTTCGACCCAGATCCCTGTTGTATATTTGGAGTTAGCGCGTTTCTCTGTCTCCACGTGGTGGCGTGGATTTTTCTCTGGGTCCTCCACACGACCACGGGTGCGAGAGACAGAGAGACAACACGCAAACTCCAAATATACAGCAGGCATCGTCAAGCTCGAGATCGAACCCACAACCTCCTGCACACCAGGCGAGGTAGTTAACATCTCGGCCTCGGGAGGCTGATAAGTGTTCTCTCCACTGAGGCATCTGGCTCAGATTTGCTGTCTAGTTTCTTTAGATTTGTAAACGACAAAAAAACCCCCACCACAACAGAAAAAAACTGGACGGCCACATGCTCGCAACTCTTTCGATTCGCTGGTCTAAACCACAAAACGGCCGCACATTCAGTTCTTTGGGAGACGGTGGTCTGGATGAGGGCCGAGCGAGGGCTGTTGCACATCGCCGCGCGCGTGACAATAACTTCGACGGCATGACCCGTGTGAGATTCCAAGCCACAAAGCATAAAACCAACATTGGGGGAAGTTTCGCAAAATAGGCAGCCTTGTTCAACCCTAAAAAGGGTCGCGCGCCGATTGGCTTCACGTGTAAGTAAATTCACGTGCTTCGTCTAAAACCTTCCAGTGGCGCTTGCCACAAAGCGGATGGCCGAGGCCACGCGAGGTGATTGATGGGCTAAGCGCTGTCACCGTCCCCCGCGTGCTTTCGCCGCGAGTTCACGACGGCAGGAGCGAACGAAAGGGCAGGCCCCGCGAGCAATTCCACGCACGTCCTGTGCACGCGGCCCCCGCTCGGATGGGGGGTGGGGTGAGGGGGCGATGGCAGTAGCGATGGAAATAGCGAGCTCGCGCGTGAACCCCCCCGCTCTGTTTACCTCCAGCTTCTCTCACGTTGCCCCCCCCCCCTCCCCCCCCAGACGGCCACGACTCCTGGAACCAACCCCCCGGGACGCCGGCCACCATCACCACCACAGCGGCACGGTGGTGGTGGTGCTGGTGGTGGTGACCGGCGCGCCGGTCTTCCAATCCAGAGGTCGCCGGTTCCATCTCGCGGCTCTGCAGTTGAAGCAACGGGGGAGCCCGACGTCTTGAAGGACTCCTCGACGACGAGCCTCGACGCCCCGGCAATTAAAAGATTTGTCCCCACGGTTCAGGAGGGTCGCGACTCCACTCGAGGGAAGGCAACCAACGGGTCTGGACGTAGACATCGCACCCCGGGCCGATGTCTACGTCCAGACCTCGCGTTCATTCCCGGAATACTGCCGAAGCGTGCCAAGCGTTCAGTAACAAAGAGCCCCCCCCCCCCCTCCTCTCCCCCAGTGTAGCCTCAACAGACTGTTGGGCCAAGTGCTGTTAGCGAGTAACAGCGATGAAGGCCGGAACAGCACCCGAGGTGACGGGTGGCCAGCACCACTCTCGGCCGTCTTCGTGTGTTCATCGGAGGCTGAGTCGACCTAGGGGAGGCCCAGGACCGGGTTCAAATAATGCGTCACTGCTGTTGGTGGCAGTGAGCGGGAAAGGAACGCCGGGTTAGCCAGGTTCGTAGCGCAGCGCGCTACACGCTGCACCACCGCTAACAGCTGCACCACCGCAAACAGCTGCACCACCGCTAACAGCTGCACCACCGCCCCAGACAACAACAGGACCTGCACGACACCTGCACTGGGGAGTTTAGCGGCGTTAACGACGGCCGATCAGAGCCCGGCTCTGCCGAAGCAGCACCCCCACCCCCACAGCCACCCCCACCCCCACAGCCACCCCCACAGCCACCCTTAATCCCCAATCCCTTCCTCTGCAGCCTCCTCCCACCCCCTACATCCCCATGCCGCCAGTCCTCTGCTCTACATCACGCGTCGTTCTCCTGCCTGGCCGTGGGGGGTGGGGGGATGAGGCTGGGGGGGGGGGTAGGAGGCGGCAGCAGCAGTGGAAGGGGAGCCCCTGCTGCCCCTGCTGCTGCTGCTGTGGTGGTGGTGGCGGCGGCGGCGACAGGAAGGCCGCCGGCTGCAGTCACGATCATCTTCCTGCCACGAACGGTCACATTGTGGCCGGCAGGAAGTGGGATCTCGTGGGATTGCCTCCCCCTCCACCACCACCAACACCACCACACACCCCATCGCAAGCACCAGCCCCCCTCCCCGGCCGAGGGCGTCCGCACCGCGCCGCTCGGCGTGCGCGCCGTCCGAGTGGATCTCGGGGATTCTGGTGCCGGACGCACGGCGGCTCCGCCCCGGGCTCCTCCGCCCCGGCGAACGAGCAACGAAGCAATGCGGCACAACATCTCCCAACGTGAGGCTCTCGGGCGGCACGTGGCAGGAGCTTCCTCGCACCGCCGATTAGCGCGGTTGGCTACGTACGGTGCGAAAGAAGTTCAACGTACATACACCGCACCTCCGATTAGCGCGGTTGGCTACGTACGGTGCGAAAGAAGTCCAACATACACATCACATAAACGCATAAAACCTACATTGGTGCCAGTTCCACAAATGGGTCCGTTTCAATCACAACAATGTCAAAACCTCCCAATGGGAGTGCTCACGAGGGAGGGGGGGGGAGGCGTCTACCTAATTTAAAGAAAATAAAACAACGTAATTGGTTTTCGCCAAACATCCCAATGTTGAAAAATAACCTGAATTATTACTCAATTGGGATCACACAGAGCAGCAACAGCAGTAACAGCGTCGCTCCCACTACTGCAATAAAACTTGGCAGGAAACCTCCTCCTGGAAAAATCCTGAGACTCGGTGACACTTTCCAGGGTGAACGAGCTGAGTGATAATAGTAATAATGTTTAAAATAATAAGGCGAGGAGCAGTTACTGTTCAGGCGTTGGTTCTCCGTTTGTTTCCCGCTTCCCTGACGATGTGGGGCACTTGGCTGTGACGATGTGGGGCACGTGGCGATGACGGTGGTGGGGCACGTGGCTGTGAAGATGTGAGACACGTGGCTGTGACGATGTGGGGCACGTGGCGATGACGGTGGTGGGGCACGTGGCTGTGAAGATGTGAGACACGTGGCTGTGATGATGGTGGGGCACGTGGCGATGACGGTGGTGGGGCACGTGGCTGTGAAGATGTGAGACACGTGGCTGTGATGATGGTGGGGCACGTGGCTGTGACGTGGGGCACTTGGCTGTGATGATGGTGGGGCACGTGGCTGTGAAGATGTGAGACACGTGGCTGTGATGATGGTGGGGCACGTGGCTGTGAAGATGGTGGGGCACGTGGCTGTGATGATGGTGGGGCACGTGGCCGTGATGATGTGGGGCACTTGGCTGTGATGATGCGGGGCACGTGGCTGTGACGATGGTGAGGCACGTGGCTGTGATGATGGTGGGGCACGTGACCCCCACGACCCCCACCCCCTCACTGCTCGGGGTCCTGCTCTGTGCAACTCAGGTTTCGAGTCGACGTCACGTAGCCGGGCG